AAGACTTCTCTGTAGCAAAGACCTTTTTATTTTAAACCTTCCCTTCCATTTTCTTTTCCTTTCAGATTGACTTCTACTTGGCAAGATGCAGAAGGAGAAGAATAAAGGCTATTTAGAGCATAGCTGCTCCATGGGACCCAAGGGGGACTCTGGAATCAAGAAATCAGTGCTGCATTTTTTACTAGCAGGAGCTGACAGAACTTGTGGGCAAGGAAAATGGGTGCAAGAGTTAGGGCCCAAGTGCTGAAAAATCAGTAAAATGACAAAGTGGCCATCGGTGGAGCTGAGCTAAGACACTCAACCAGCAGGTTCGGATTCTGTCTTTTCTGTATTAGTGTACTATAAGCCTAGCAGATACTGAGACAACACTTCCCAGTGAAGTGTGTCTTTTTTGGGCAGAAAATTCACTCTATGTGAAGACTGCAGATCACAAATGCATTTTGTGACAAACAGATGTGTGCAAATTAACTTTTGTGATTTGACAAGCTCTACTGAAGAATTTTGTGAAGAGAGGCTGAGAAAGCTGGGCCCATTTAGTCTAGAGAGGAGAAGGCTGAGAGGGAAGATCAGTAACATATATAAATATCCCAAAAGTGGGTGTCAAGAGGATGATGCCCGGCTGTTCAGTGGTTTCCAGAGACTGGGAAAAGAGCAATGGCCATGAACTAAAACACAAGAAGTTCCACCTCAACATGAGGAAGAACTTTGTGTTGAAGGTGGCAGAACACTGAAACAGGCTGCCCAGGGAGTTTGTATAGCCTCCCTCTCCAGAGATATTCAAAACCCAGTTGGATGAGTTCCTGAGTCATGTGCTCTGGGTGACCCTGATGGGATGGAACAGAAGAAATTGAGAAGAATAGTCCAAAATAAGGATTATTCTGGGAGCCTTCTGCCAGCATTACTCTTTATAGCTAAAATTTAATGCTGCACCTTCTATTTTCAGTAACACCTGTCTTGTTTCTTCTCAGTAGATCACAGTTATCTGAACTTGAAAACCAGTATCACTTTATTTGTTTATACAAGGAAGATTTAACTTAAAACTTGTACATTTTTTTGTTTCCAACATCCTGCCTTTGTTACCCATCAAACTGAAATCACAATAAGAAGAATCTTGAATGAAGAAAGTAAATTTTAGTATTGTACCCCTATTTTAAAGACAGAGATACAAAGAAATGTACCAACTGGCATTATTAAAAGCTTTCTCTAAAGGAAATGGTTCACCATTTTCTTTAGAGAATGATTACATAAAAGGTCATAGCAGATGTGACCTACTGAAGTGATGGTAATTTCTACCAGGTTTTAGTAGGCTTGGAAAACACTCTATTGCAATCCTGATGCAGAAGTCAATATTTTTATTAAGTACCTAAAGAGATGAGATCAGGAAAGAATCTGCACAGATTTCATCGTATACAACACTAGAGGAATGTTTTCTAGATAAAACATTTGAAAAGATAGAAACAAACATTCTATTTTTAACTAGACTTTCAATTTAATTGCTGAGTTTTAGATAAAAACATCAGCAACATTAACAGATGGAGGGGATTCCTATTAGCCTAGGAATAATTATGATTCCAAGTAGTAACCAAAGGCTGTAACTCAGAGGTTCCATAATCCCCTTCTGCTCTTCTGAGCATCTACTTCTACTTTTCTTGAGCCATCTCTACAACCTTACTCTACATGCAGGCAGGCAGCATCTATCTACAATGCAATCATCATTATCCTGACTACTTTATCCTTTATCTCTTCAATGTATTTCTATCTCAGATTTATGCAAAAGCTTTAGAAATAACACTTTTAGGCACAGTGTACTAAATGTCTCAGTCATTTGTAATTTCTGCACTTGATTACACCGAAGTCAATGTCAAATTAAGTATCATATTTGCAATTTAAATTATTCTAATCTCTTATTTTAGCTCACATTTCTGTATCAAATTACTGTTGGGGACCTACCCTTAGTTGGTGAACTTCCTGTGACTGTACTGCTCTTACAGAATGCAATTCCAATTTAATGGCATACAAAGGCCACACTTAAGTTATTCAATTATGATATATGATAATAAGATCCAATTGAGTGTGTTTGCTATTTAACTTTCTGTTCAAACTACACTATTTATCTGTTATAAAATCTATTTAAGAAAATGATTAATTGTTATTTCTATCGTGAAATTGCAATTTTTTAAAGTTGTCAGTACTCAAAAGAATAACTAATATAATATCTTTGTTTATCTCATATGAAATGAAAGATATTTTAGGGAAATATTTAAAATTAGTTTGTTAACTTTTCCATGTATTAAAAATCTGAATGGGAAAAGAAGAATTGCTTTCCTTTGTGAACGGCATTTCCATTTCCCCATTAACTTATCCTTGACCAAACACCATATAGACAGCAATACCATAAGCAATGTTTATGAAACAAGTGGGAATTCTGTTGATTATTTGATTGGAAAAAAATACAGTGCATTACAAGGGCAATCTAATCTGGAGAAATTTTCATCAGTGTAAAGCCCAAAAGTGCCGCATTGCTGAGGTTTCTTTCTTTTTGTATAAGAACTGAAAAGTTATGGTTGTTTGTATTATTAAAGATAATTCTACATTCCCTGTGGAAAATCTCATATGAAAGAAGTCTCACATGTAGATGAGCAAATATATTTGGCTAAGTGAATAAGTTCAGGAAAAAAAGTAAGGAAAAAGAAGTGCTTGATTTTATCTAGCAGTCCTGCAATGTTCATTAAGTCAAAATTAGTTAACCTGATAAATTTTGTATATCATCTAAACTTCCTAACAGTAATTTTTTTCTCCTCATGTCCCAATCTAGTTCTGAGGTCTGATTTTATCTAGCATATCTAATGAGTGATTTACTGGCTAAGGTATACTATTTTTACATCTCTGGTATTAAAATGATATTGTGGAAGAGGTTTTGTCACAATGAAAGCTAGAATAATATGAAAAGAGCTTCCAGATACTCCATGAACACTGGACCTGCTGGATATGAAAGTGAAAGAGCATATGCATTTCTAACACGGATACAGAATTTCTTCTTTGCCAATGCAGTTATTGTACTGCAGTATTTGACAGTGCACTCTTATATAGAGGTGGTTATTTTCATGTTCAAATTTGCAGGAGTTCATTGCTTTCTAAGCACTGTAATGACATCCCTTTTCACTCCAGTCACTCTACTCATGTATCCACCCTATTCCTCTTCCCATTCTTTATATTTGACTTCTGAAATTATAACATCTTATTAGGCTATTAGGTTCTTAATTAAAAGAAAATTAATCTAAGTGCCCTCTTTATCCCTTCAGATCTCAGTGGTATCAGGGTTTCCCTTTGAAATGGAATCTAATATGGTGTCAGAAGACTTTTGCTCCCACTATTCTCAGCATTTTATGCCTGTTAAGTTTGAGCAGTGTCCTGAGGCAGTGAACAAAACCAATTATGGAAACCAAATATAGAACTTTAGGTGTTGCCAAGCACAATTTAGATATAAGCCCAAATACATAGTCCAGGAAGAAAATACAATATATTTGCATTTTGAAAGCACACAACCTGCATTAGTTTTTATTGAAATAAAAAGTCAGAAGAGAGACAAGGCAGCAATCCTCTTATTGAGAAATGCAAGGACAAAGTTTCAGACAGCTTTGTGGTTTGTGTGTCTCATTAACTAGATTTAACCATGTTTCCATTTAGTGCGGGACTTTTAGGCTATACTTTGGAGACACATAATTCCAGCACTCAAAATTACCTTTGGCAAATTTTCAGGTGGCACAATACTGAAGCTTTATGATGTCTCCAGATCTTTCTTTTATTTCTACTTATTTATGCTTTGTACAATGCTTAGCATTGTGAAAGATATTTATGAAAGGCATAATTTGTATAAGACTACAAAACATAAAGGAACTATGTCACATACATAACATATATTAAAATAAACCAATAAGCCCAGCATTAACACTCATACTGTATTAACTCCTGTTAGAGAAAGTAAATAGTCATCCTCATTGTCCTGCCAACGGTTTTTTCTCTGAGTAATACCAAAGATAATCTATGAGTCCTCAAATTTCTCAAGTCTGCTACTTTTGATAGCCAAGAATATTTCTTGATATTATCAGTATCAAATTGTGACATTACTTGACATGATTTTATAAGTAGAGTTCCAGAATTTATCAAATTTCACCTTTACAAAGGCCTGGATAGACTTATAAAAGGAATATAAAATGCAACTCCTGTTTTATTTTTTCCACATACTTTTAGAAGGCATCTGCTCTTACAAACAGGAAAAGTACATCTGCTAGCTAGAATCAGCACTATGAAAAGTATATCAAGTAACTACAAGTAAATTTACATGAGGCCTGGTGAAGAAAGGCCATTAGACTGAAAGCAGGGAAATATGGGTAAACGGTGAATCCTGCATTTAGGTGGTCTAACTTAAATTTGTTCAGTTCATGATCAGTTAATCCTGAAAATGTTTAGTGTTAAAGTAGCAACAAGAGGCCTAAGTTTTCTTCATACAATAAAGAGAAAATGAAATGAAAACACCCATACCCATTACTCTATTTTGTATGCATTATATATGGAATAATATATATTATTCAAAATTTTTGACTTCTTTTATAAAAGACTGATTCTTTTGATTTTTTTTTTGAGAGGTCTTTATTTACCACACTCAGAACTAGCAACTTTTCTCCTAGAGTAATTTTCTTTATTCCACTATGCAGACAGATATTTTTCTAAGAAGGAAGCTACATAAAATTATCCTGATAATGTGCACAGAATTAAAGATTCAAAAATAAATGAAAAGGTACAAGCACAATTGTCTTTTTACAGTTTGCAGTTTATCTTTAGATTCAGAGCACTGTGTATGAATCACCCATGAGAATTAAACTCATCTCTACTTTAAGAATCATCTGTCTGTTTGCCAATGGCATGTATTAATCAGAGTCTTATTTTCAAATATTGCACTTGAGTTTGAATGACATTTAGGCAAAAATTAAAAATCTTACCTTCAAAAACTCTGAATGCTTTCTTGCAGCTTGGTAGAGGCCATTTAGCAGAATTGGATTTTTGAAAATTTTCCTTTAGATTCAAATATTCCATAGGGAAAAAAGATCTGGTAGAGTTATTCAGATCTACAATAATTAAGGGGAAAGAATACATACATCAATGCCCTAAATAAAGCATAATAATAATGAGCACAAATTTAAACAAAATAAAAATGCCATATCTACTGTGTAATTCTTCTGATTATAACAACTTATAACAACTATATTTAAAAAACACGTTTACACAACCATTTCCATATATAGCAAGAGCAAGTTGTAAACATTCTGCTTTTTTGGAAAAAAAAATAATTAGAAAAGATGATGTCATTATGATAATTTCTGGCAAAATTGTGCATTGAAGAAATCAAGCTATTTAACTTACAAAACTATGATGATCTCTCTTAATAAAAATTATATCCATAAAAATGGCTGTGGTATTAATTCTCAGCTTTTTGTTTAATATCACCATTCAGTAATAGTCAGTAATGGAAAGGAAGGGGAAGAGCCTGACATTTTTTTTAGATTTAAAACAGTACTTTGGATTAACAGGAAGTTAATCCTGTTAATTAATTAATCCTGTTAATTAATTATTTTATAAGTTTTTAAGAAAACATTTGTAGAATGATTCATGACACATTGCAGGAGTTGGCATTACGGACTAATCTCAAGAAATCAACATCTTCTCAGGGTATAATTTGGGGAAATACCTATTGATTGCAACTTAAAACTGCCAAACTAAAATATTCATAGCAATGCAATGGAAAACTAAAAACAACAGTATTTTCCTACCATAGAATTGATCTACTGATAACAAACAGGGTTGCTAAGCTAGTAGTTAACAGGAAAAACTTCAGCCTCCTGCTCATCAATTTCTGCCTCCAAACCAAGATGGCTCCAGATAAATGTTAATAGTAGCTGGTACCATAATTCTTTCTGTACCTTCAAAGTAAGAAAAGACATTCACAGGATTTTTGAGAAGGCTTTTCTTATTACTTCATGTGGTCCAATGTAATGGAACATACTTTTCCAATAATAAATATTTTATGAAAGGATAAAATCTTTTTCTCTGGCAAATTTAAGAAAGCTAAGCTTTTTGTGAGCAGGCTCCAAAAAGAAGAAAAAATGCCTTTGCTTCCAGTAGCTTTTTCTGTGTAAGATGAAGACATTAACAGATTTGAAGTAAAAACCCCATGCTAGTTTGATTCTAAAAATTATCCTTTATTTCACCATGTCACAATGCAGGTGGAATGAAGCCACACAATACATGAAGAGCACAGAATCTTCAAATCCTCCATCCCGTTATGTGAAAATAGAGCTAATTCACATATAAACTGCTGTCACTGAAGGAAAAAGGGCCTTTTTTCTCCAAAATGTAAAATGAACAAACTGTGTATTTTTCACTAGTGTTTTTTAAATTTTTATGAAAGATCTTTATATGCTACTGAACATATTTGGATTAAGTATTATTCAGATTCAGGCTTCTGATGAGACTCTGCTTGCTTCTCACAGCACGGAGAACATTTTATTTTCCTGCTACAGACCACAGAAATCAACACAGATCTTTCACTTTTATTCAAATTTGAAAACTGAAACCTCTGGTGAGGCATCCAATTCCTGTTTCTCAGGAAAGACAGTGGTGACAAGTCTTACTGGCTTCTAGAAGCCTGCTTGGCTGGGCTTTCAATGAAAGATCCCCTCAAGCTGGCCAGGTCACCTGTCCCTCTGTATGCACATGACCCTCTTTCCCTGCCATGTGCCTGGACCTCCCTTGCACAACCACTACCCTCAATCTGCATTTCTCCAAAGTGGTGGATTTATTGCACATGTGTGTCAGATCTGGCCCTTCTTGCAAACAACATAAATTAAATTTTTATTAATGGAAGTGCAGAAGATCACTCCGTCCCTGTAAGTGAAGCATTTAAAAGATACTTGCTAACTTAGAAAGTTACTTGGTGGAATCAGCTCAAGATCTGTTTTCTTAGGTGTATCCTGGGCACGTTGTCATCTGATCAGATGTGATTTTAGACTGATGGGAGAAGGGCTTCTAAGAAAGCCTTTAAGAAAGATGGGAACACATAGTAAGCACCATCAGAGCAACCTATCTGGACTGGAACTCATGCTTAAGGGATCCTCTAAAAAAGGCTCAGCTGACCAAGGCAACTGGCCAGAGGAATTACCTTTGTGAGTCAAATATGGCTTTGTAGCTCTCAGTTAAACACTGATTTTCTCCATAATTGATGGATAATTGACCTCTTAGCCCTTTTTTTTGACCCGTTACATGCATCCTTCTGTTGCAGTTATGTTCTGCAAAACTGTACAAGCTAAAAAGTGAACTTCTGAGTATATCCTTAAATGTTTTTCTTTTTGACATATATTTGTGAAATAAATGCACTCACACAAAAGGAAAGCTGCAGAGAGCATCCAAAATAAATTAATGATGGAAATAAGACATCCCAGCTGCATCATTAGAGAAGTATATAAAGACTACAAGCAACTTTGCTTTGCTGCCTGCACAAACCTATAGTAGCAGTGACTTTAGCATAAGTTTTTAAAGGCTTGATAACTCTTCTGAGTGGAAAAAAAATAAATTACTATGCTTTACATTGCTCTGGTGCCATTCATCTTCTTAATGTGCTGATTTTACTAACTTCTCTGAGGATACAATATCATCATCAATACCCCTTAGTTAATTTAAAAGTTGTTCAGTATGTTATACACTGAAAAATTTCAAAATATTTTTTGTAGTATATATAATAAAACAAAGCTAAATTACTGTAGCTATTTTTAAATATATTGCTAAGTCAAGCACATATTGCTATATACTGAATGGCAATATACAAATAGTTGTAGATTTCTCTCATCTGAAGTAGTTAATACAAAACATATATACTGTTATGGTCCACTATTTATAGTAGACTCTATCTACAAATCTATGACACCTCATGTCCTCCTTAGGCATATAAACCCTTTTCCTCAAAAGAGCTACATACCCATTTAATATTTTAAGAGTGGGTAAAGTTGAATGGGATGTCTTGAGAACAGCTAGTCCAACCTGCTAAGGCAGGGTCAGCTGCACAGGGGCCCAGAATCAGTTGGGTTTTGACGGGTGTTACACAGCCTCTCTGACCAGACTGCTTGAGATCCTCACACAAAAAGCTCTTTCTTGTGTTCAGATGGGATCTCATGTGTTTGAATTCATGCCAAATGCCTCTTGTGCTGGCAGTGAGCACCACTCAGAAGAATCTGGCTCCTTCTTCTTCATTCCCTCCCACCAGGCATTTTTACACATTGCATGTTAGGTACTCAAAGGCTACAAATAATCCTAGTAATATTTCACTTAGAAAACTGTAACATGTTGAAAAGTTTTGCAAATACATTTTAGAATGCATCTTTATTCTCCTTTTGTGCTCTCCCAGTGGTAATTTTCTGCAGCAAATCTGCTAAATTGTTTTTTTAAAATTTAAATAGCCCTAGAAAAACCTAACTATCTATCAGTGAAACACACTTCATCTGTATATCAAATTGAAGGGAGCATCAAACATTAGGAAAATGAAATGAGAACAGCTTGAAATCTCTATACAGCAGACAGGCAGGGAGTTGAGAGTGCTCAGGCTGCAGCTTTCCACCCATTTTCTCTGCTGCAGTGCATCAGTGCAGGGATAGCCAGTCTCTAACCCTGGCAACCAGCAGCTGCTCAGTGAATCACCTTGGGGAAATAGGTTCACCTGAAAAATGCTTCCTTCCCACCCTAATGAGTTCTTCTTTATCCCAGTCAGTTCCTCAAACTGACCTGCGATCAAATCATACAAAGTTGGGCCTGTACAAAAGCAGAGTCTGTGGACAACCAGAAACAGAAGTGGGCAGCTCTGCTGATCAATGTGAAACTATACTTCAGTCTGCATCCCTAACCTGTCATCATCACAGCACTCACAACAGCTTAAAGAAGATCTCTGCAAGATCTCTGTAGCATCTAAAATGAAACAAACACTCCTGCATGGCTGAGTCATTTCCATTACTTTGTGAACTGTCTATGCACAGTTTTAAGTGCTGTAAATGATCTAACTCCAGATACATGGTGCAATTTTATCAATGGCACTTGAATCTACCATATAAACTTTGGACATAAAAGACTGACTCATGCTGTTCCAGACATTCTATCTGCAGAACTACTTACCCTCTTCTATTTCTATACCCAATCTGACACCAAACACCCTACCCACCATATTTTCCTACTGTTAAGAGTAAGGAACACTAGAGATGAGGGTATAGGAGGCTAGGACACGAGAATTTAAGAAGATGATCAAGGGTTCTCCCAGCCTTTAATTTCACTTGTCTCCAAATTTAATGTCATAAATGAAAAGAGTATTTTTTGTGTGTGCCATAGAGTGGGCAATTTTGAAAATACTTTTCCAGTAGGATAGTTTGAGAAATGTTTATTATGTTTGGAGCTTGTTATTATTCAGGAAGAAGAAACAAAAGAATTCTACCAGAAAAGAAAGCAATCAGAATCTCATTTCTAAAATAAAAAGTTTAAAAGCACATGTCCTGAATAGCTTCTTGACATTGAAGAGAACCTGCATAGAATGTTCTTAGGAGGAGTTAAATGGAAAGAAAATCTCACAGTGGATGAACATTACCAAAATTTGCTCTGAATGCATAAAGGAAGGAAAAGTACAAATAATTTTTATTTGTAAAAAATAAAAAAGTGCAAAAACCTTCATTTCTATACCTGTTTGGAAAAAGACTCTGGCAATTGTAGTGCGACACAGTGGACATGGAGTGCTGGCTGGATTGTCTTTGGCAAGCATCCTTAAGCAAGGTTCACAAAAGATATGGTGGCAGGGATAGCACATGTAAGGGTTGAAATAAACATCCAGACACACAGCACAGAGATAGCTTTCTTTATCTCCTCTGAGTTCATGCTCATCATCTGTATGCAGGTTATCATTTGCAGGCTGCAAGAAGAAAAAGACAACATATTTTCACATTCAGCTCATAACTATTTTGGATAAAACAATTGTCCAGAAGATCATTTTCAGTAATGGTTAAGAAGACAGTACAAACATGTGATATTCTTAAATTTAATACAGGTTAATACTTTTAAAAAGACGATGAAACATAAAACAGGAGTATCAGAAAAAAGTCCTCTGTGGGAAAGACAAAAAATCACAAGGCAGTAAAAGAAGGAAGTAACAAAACCAACATGGCTAAGTAAAACTGTATTATGATCAGATTTCTTCTTTTAAAATTAATTTTTACAGTTTATATGTATCTGCATTACAAAAAGGCAGAAACATAGAATGGTATGGCTTGAATGGGACCTTAAAGATCATCTAGTTCCTACCTTCCTGCCATGTGCAAGACACCTTTCTTGAGACTAGGCTGATCAGAGTTCCATCCAACCTGGCCCTGAGCATTTCCAATAATGGCACATCCATAACTTCTCTGGTCAAACTGTTCCAGTGCCTCACCACCCCCACAATAAAATTTTTTTTACCTAATATCAAATCTGAACTTACCCTATTGCAGACTGAAGTCATGCCTCCTTGTTCTATCACTCCATGTCCTTGTAAATAATCTCTCCCCATCCTTTACGCTCCCTTCAGGCACTGAATGGCCACAATTACGTCACCCTTAAGCCTTCTCTTTTCCAACCAAATACTCAACAAACAAAACCAGACTTTGAACAAACCAAATACTCAGTCTTTCTCCATTCCTCAAATTATTTTGGTGGCCTTGTCAGAACCTGCTCCAGCAGGTCCATGTCCTTCCTGTACTGGGAGCCCAGAGCTGATGCAGCCCTGCAGGTGGGGTCTCAGCAGAGCAGAGCAGAGGGGCAGAATCCCCTCCCTCTCCTGCTGCCCACACTGCTCTGGATGCAGCCCAGGACACGTGTGGCTCTCTGGGCTGGGAGTGTCAAACATGGGGCTGGGTCAGGTCCAGCCTCTCAGCCACCAGCACCCCCAAGCCCTTCTGGGCAGGGCTGCTCTTGATTCCTTCATGCCTCAGCTTGTACTGATATCAGGACTTGCTTCAACCAGTGCACATTTCACTTGGTCTTACTAAACCCTCAAGAGATTCCTGTACACCCACTTTTTGAGTTTGTGCATGCTCCTCTGGATGGCATCCCATCCTTCAGGTGTGAAAATACCTTTACTGTGCCAAGAAAGGCAAAAATAAAAAAATTAATTTGTGAATATTTATGTTTGTAATTGTAATAATTACTTCATGTTCCAGCAAGAATGAGTTCAAAACAAGCCACAACTTTATTACTACAAAGCACCTTAGAGTAGAAAGTCTCCTATCATCCTTGGTAACTGCTTGCTTTTGTCAGCACATGTGCTCCAAATTTCCTTGCACTGCTATATTTGTAGGAAGACATAGCTGGACTTCCCAAATGGTGCTCACCCCATATGAATGTAACAACTTGTGTGCATTGCCATGTTCCAGCTTTGCTCCTGTAAGATGACTAAACCTTTCCAAGTAATCTGAAGATCTGGTATTTATGGCACCCTGGTTTTTTGGCTGTCATGATTTAGGAATGGTACTCTTCAATTTTGTGCTCCCACTGAGATTCTCCAAACCATGTGCTACTCAACTCTCCCCCTCCCCTCTGTGGAGCGCTGGAGAGGAGAATGCGAGGCACAAAAGGTGAAGATCACTGACTGAGATAAGAACAAAAACTGGGAATGGCAGTGAGATAAGAATATGAACAGTAACAGCAACAATACTAAAGGCAGAGAGTATAAGGAAAAACATGGTTATTGTTCACTGTGGAAACCCCTGACATAAATACCACACTGCTCCCTCTGGCTCACAACCAGTGCCACCTGACTGCCCCCTCCAGCTTGAAACTGATGTTATCCAACCCTCCCTCCAGCTCAGAACCTGCACCACACTTACTCAACTGGAAGGAAGCCCTTCTCTTTGGAAAAGACTCTCTTTCCCTGACCCCAGCAATGACACAAGGTAGAAGAGAATAATCCCTGAAGAGCTTAGCCATGCCCCCTCCTGACTACTGCAAAAGTTAACCCTATCTTGATTGGAATGAGGATATTGGGTTAAAGAAGCAACCAATCTTTTAATCATTATGGGAGACACTCAGGAAAAATTTACTATGCTCTGCCTCTTCTATCCATCTTCTTTGTTTCTGTTTCTGGTTTTCTCTTTCACAGATCACAGAACCCAATATACTGCAGTAACCAAGAGATCCACCACGAAAAACCAAGATAGGAGCATATCAAGACACTTCTCTCATCCTCCTTACTCTAAACTCCCAATCCTTGCCTCCCCTGTGCAGCTGTGGTGGGAAGTGATAGAGAAGATCTGGTGGCTGCCTGAAATCCAGCCAGGGTCAATCCAACCCACTATGCATTACAGAGACCACTTTTGACACTCATAGGCCATGACAGACCACTACTGCCTGACACTGGTACCAAACGTTAATGACAATTGTTAATACTGTGGTTATGTAGATATGGGAATCTATAGATATTTCAGAGAAGATTACATTTATGGTTATTACATTTATGGCTTATGGTTTGGATTGCTGTGTTTCTCGTTACTCCCAAAGGGTATCTCTCTCTATGGGAGTTACTGAACTCTGCAAATAGTGAGTAAATCCTTAACAGTATGCAATCCAATACTGTGGATCGCATTAAAATACAGAAAGATTTAGCCAGGATTTATCAGTTCTGGACAAACACTTGTTCTGTCATTCTACCTTAGCCTTTGCATTGCACTTTCCAAGATATTATGTGGCAAGAGTGCTTGTAAATTCTTGAGCTGCTGTGCCAAAACCACATTGCACTGTGTTCAATCACAAGCTCTTGTCATGATTGTCAGTAACTGTTTCTCTTACCTTAGAACTTGGTCTAAGAACTGTCAGCAACAGTTTCTATTACCTTAGAACTTACTGCTCCAGTTTGATTTTCTACACTTGACAGGGCTGCAGAAAACTTCAGTGTGTACTGAAATTTACAACAGGGGCAACTAGGATGTACTGATAAGCACGAAACATAGGTCTGGCTGCACTAGCAGCCACAGAAGCTAGATACAGACAGGGAGAGCTTGGGACCATTACTTCCAGCTCCATGCTGTAGGAAATGTTCTTAAGGCAACATTAAATACTAGAGTATTACAACTATCAGTAAAACTGTTTAACTCAGACTGTCTCTACACTTACAGCACAGAAAACCCACACCAGAACAGAATGGCAAAGGGTAACAGAATTGATTACAGCTAAGTAATTTAAAATGAAGGAAGCTTCATAATACCATTTCTTTGGGAAAAAAAGTGGCAAATAATTTCACAGAGAAAGTGAGGAAAGTAATCTCAGGTAATTACATGACTGATGACTTCAGCAGAAATCAGGAATACATTGTGAAAGTCCCCTCCAATGCTGCCACATGGGCTTGGCAGGGCTGAATTAAGTGATTGAACTTGATCTTAAAGGTCTTTTCCAATCTAAGTGACTCTATGATTCTATGCCATGTCAAAAATGTCAAAAACAAAAATCTAGCATGAAAACAATATACAGGGAACAGAAAGCTTTTGCTAACTGGTTTTGATGAGAATTGTTTGGTAAGAAAATATACCTAGTGTCTAGAGGAGCTGACTGCAAGATAAATGTCTTTCAAATGGCAATTAAGTGACTAAGACAGCCAGAGGCAAAACTGCTGAGGACTCACAGGTAACAGCTGGTTCTGAGACAGGTTTGCAATCATGGTAAGATGCACAGACAGAGGTATCTCAGAACCAATTGCAACTATCAAAGGTTGCAATTTGATCAAAATATCAAAATTATTCTAATGTGCAAACAAGATCTAATTAGGAGTAATTTTCTTAGTGGAAGAGACGTCTTTTCTACAGCTTTGCGCCCCTTTTCAAAAGATCTATGTAGGCACATGGCATTATTCAGTACTGTAAAGCTAAAACCAGAGCAACTTCTTATGCAAGAAGCTAATGCACAAAAATTTAAAAAGTCATTATTTTTTTGGTTTGCAATTAAGTGGTGCCTATATATATTACTAGAGTCAGGGCTTTGGTGTATGAAAACTTAACAAGCATAAACCAGGTTGGTTTTCTCACAGGATTATAGTACGAACAAAATTAAGAAAGTACATGTAAACATCAAGGACAGTGAAAGATTGTCAAATAATAACAGAAAAGGCTTGAAAGCAAAACAATTACTCCTGAGAAATGAAGGAAAGGTAAGAGCCTTTCATCTTCCCACATTATTGGGAGCTGCTAATGCGGCTTTGACAGTAACCCCTATATAGGGGGACATCTATAGTGGGACATCTGAAGGATATTAATGAAAGAAAAGAGAGGAATCAACTTCTGCTTGAGAAGCCTATAAAGCATGTTAAGGAACAAGGAGTCTGATACAGCAGTGGTTGAGAAGGGGCATGAAGCTATGAAATTTGGATATTGGAGCTTGTGAGAAGTCTCTGCTACTGGACTACAGGAAAGTAGTTGATTCAGTTTCACATTCAGAAAGAATACATGCATCACTGGATATCTAATGCAACACAATATCTAATGTATGGTTTACCTGTAATCATATGAAAGACCTAGACCAAGTGGTCATACACACAAGAAAAGATTTTGTATGAAAGCTATCAGTAAAAGGAAGTTCAGAGTAAAACCTGGAAGTATGATCAAAACAGTGGCAAAACCAAATAAGGCACATATGTCATTTGACAAAGCTGCCCTATTATGAAAAAAAACCCAACCTGCAAAACCATTCATTTTAAAATGACCTATTCAGAATACCTTGTTAGCTCAAAAAATGTCCACAGTTGAAAGGAATGATGACTGAAGGAAAATCAGTTATATATTTCACATTATTATCTTGTAAAGAAAACTGCCTCTAGAATGATTTTTAGCCTAAACCAGACTTTAACTCTTCAATTATAATGCAGAATTGGAATCATACACCTCAGGTATGAAA